CCCCCACCCCCCGCCATCTCATGCTTTTCTTATAAATCTAAAACAGCCGTGATTACTAAAACATGACACTTTGGTCAACTTTGTCACATAATAAGAGACATTTTCTTTGAGCATTTTCTTCCTATTTCACAATATCTATTATACCTTTTGCTCCTCATTTCTACCTTCAGTTTCTCACACCAGAGAAATGATTTGGTATTTACACATGTGTGTCCTATTTATTTCACTTATGAGTATGGCCTCAATGTGCATCCATTTAGCTATAAATGTCTCAAGTTTATCTTTCTTTATGGCTGAGTAGTACTCAATTTTATTTTTTTTAATTTTTTATTTTTTTGGTACTCAATTTTATATGATAAAACACATCTTCTTTATCCATTCACCAGTTGATGGGCTTTTGGGCTGTTTCCAAGGTTTAGCTATTACAAACTGTACCTCTATAAACATGGGTGGGCATATGTCACTGTGGTATGATTATTTTAATTCTTTTGGGAAGATACCCAGTATGGGAATAGCAGGGTTGACTGGGACTCTAATACTAGTGTTCAAAGGGAAAGCGGAACTAGAGGGGGTGAGGAGGGGAAAGGAAAGAAGGGAAAGAAAAAAATTGAAAGTAAGAAGGAAAAAATGGAAACAAAGCTGGCATATTTAGGGGGGCCTGGAGGGGTTAAATGGAGAGAAGGAGAATGGGAAAAAATAAGAATCAAGATATATCATGTACAGGTACAAATTCTCAGTGATGAATGTGATCATAAGGTATACTTAAATGTACCAATAAACTGAATAAAAATTAAATAAGAGTAATTTTCTTAATGTTTACAGTTTCTCCTATGAAAATGACTTTGAACTTGATCTTAGCCAAAAGGCCAAGAAGTGATGCAAAAATAACTTTGAAGTGTCAATCTCCTTCATTTTCATCAAGATATTGGAAGAAGTTAAGATGAACTTCATTTAAATTTTATTTTATTTAACATTTATTGCTTTGGAGGACAAGTATACTTTTGGAGTATAAATTTTTAGTTCAAATAAATCAACAAAGATGCTATTTTAAAGAAGCTTTGTTAATATAAATAGAGGGTTTTTTTTCCTTTTGCCCACTTAAATAATTTTGGAATGTTGAGGATAGTATTTTTTTCCCCAGAAGTAGATTATTTGTGGTACGTGTGTGTTTTCTCTAATCTCACCCTAAGTCAAGCCTTTTTGTGGATAAGGAATGTTACATTTCAAATATCAGTGTTTTCTGTTTTCTTTCCCTGTGAATGTTCTACTCTTAAATCTAGGGTCTGGGAAAAAGAGAAAGAGTGCCTCTGTCCTATAGAAGGGGATACTTTCCCAAACTAGTTTTCCAGAAACGAATTACAGTTCTCCAGTGAACTGGATGATGCTTTCACATTTTACATTCTCAAGGAGACTTGGAAAATTTGAGTCTGTGTTATGTGTACCTAAAAGGTAATATCTAGAATAAAATTATATCTCCTTACAGCCAGTGATGGAGTGTGTGATATGTGAAGACGGAAAGTTCCTTTGAAAGAGACGTAATAACACCAAGCTAATATAATTCATGAAGTGGAGGTGGAGGTGAGTGTTTATTAGTTAATATATTATTACGTTAGACAAAATGGGAATCATGACAGAAGAAATAATTGCAGGTAGGTATGGCACACTGGAGAGTTGGCATTGGATGGAAGAAGTTCGTTCTTCAGGTGTGAGTACATGTATGGGCTGGTAAAGCCCCAGGAAAGGGGACATGAAGCTCACCGTCATTGGTCCATGAAAGGGGAATATATTCAGGGAAGTGCAGAAGTGTTGTAATCATGAGAAATAATGTTGGCCAAAAGATTAAGTTGAAAGAGAGACCACATATGAGGGGACTTAAAATTGGGAAGTAGAATTAGGCCTTCATGTATTTGGCACTAGGTGTGCAGTGTACTTCTTGAGTAGGGAAATCAGACATTGATCAATCTGTTAAGATTTGTCTCCAATCTTGTGCATTACACAACGCATTGCAAAAATTTCCAAGGTGCCAAACAAAAGGACAATTCGAAACATTAGCTTATAACTACCCTAATAACTGGATAACAGTGTCCTGAGGATTATTCAATATGCCATGCCTTGGATTCAACAAAATTAAAAGCAGTCTAATTGAGTAGTGAGAAGAATGAGAGGGTAAAAGTTTAACACACCTTTTAAAGGAAAAATAGAAGTTGAATAGAAGAAGGCGTGCCCTAGCGAATTGGAATCTGGAGAGAGTCTTGAAGTCTTCAAAATGACTCTTGCTGGGGAATGGTACCAGGGGCCGAATCCAGGGCCATATGGGTGCTCTGTAGGCTTTCTATCCCTATGTTACATCCCATGTCCCTTAAGAGTTACTCTTGGACCCTCTGAACCTATTCTGTTTTTGGCCCTTCTGATGATGTCCCCTAGTTTTGGGAGACATCCTAAGGACCTGTTCCAATATTCAGCGCCAGCACCAGATCAGTTTCATTGAACTATTCCCTGTTATGCCATCTTTTCTGTTTGCTTCCATAGTAGCCATATGTCAAACAGTTAAAGATGTTTATTTCGATCAATGAATAACAGGGAGAGAAAAATTATAAATTTATTTCCCACATCTACTCTCAGTTACTAAACCATTTAGATTTTTTTTTTTAAGTTGGGGAACATAATTTTTTTTATTACAAATGAAGTGTGGGGAAAAATTAAGCATGGCTGTTTTGAACCACTTAGATTCTTATTCTATAAGGTCTTTCACTCTTTCTACTCCAAAACTAATATTCTAGTTCACACCCTCCTTAATTCTTCCCGATCTCCAATGAGATCTTCATTTCTCTCCTTGCTTTGCAGTTTCCTCTTCCAATCTCATCTGTATATTACTTCGAGCTTAACATTTATAAAGCATAATTACCATTGTAATCCCTGCTCAGAAACTGCCACTTGTCCCCGCTTGCAGCAGTCTTCTGGCTGAGGTGCACATGCTCCAGGAGGCTCACAGAGATAATCCCAGAGGTTCTTAGGCACAGGTAGTTTTCAAGGTATCAGTTTCCTGATTGTAGATGTTTTTTCAACTTGCTCTGCCTACTGTGAAGATGGCCTACAAACCTATTCAACGGCTTTTTTTTTTTACAGCGGTCTTCTCCTACCTGACAAAAGAAATACCTATTTCACTCACTCTATGTCTTGTACATTGGCCTAAGTTACAAAATTTCTGGTGTTCAAAAATGGACAGCTTAAAATACTGATGAAAATTAGAATATAATAACATTGTCTAGTTTATAAGATAGCATCTTAATCCTTTCTTTGGTTTAAATTAAGGTGGGTCCCTCACTCCAGAAAGAATGGCTGCTATCAGGAAATCAACCAATAACAAATGATAGCTGGGGTGTGGGGAGAAAGGAACCCTTCTCATTGTTGGTGGGAGTGCAGACTGGTGCAACCACTGTGGAAATCAGTATGGAGATACCTTAAAGAACTAGGACCAGAAGTCCCATTTGACCCAGCTATTTCCCTGCTGGGTATCTTCCCCAAATAATTAAAAGAATCATACCACAGTGATATATGTCCACCCATGTTTATAGCAGCACAGTTCCTAACAGCTAAAGCTTGGAAACAGCCCAAGTGCCCATCGACTGGAAACTGGATAAAGAAGATGTGTTTTTAAAAATAAAATGGAGTACTACTCAGCCATAAAAAATGAAAAACTAGAGACATTTATAGCTAAATGGATGCATATTGAGGCCATACTCTTAAGTGAAATAAGTAGGACACACATGTAAATACTGAATAGTTTCTCTAGTGTGAGAAACTGAAAGTGTAAATAAGGATTAAAATGATTAAAATGAGTAATTGATAATTTGAAATAGGAAGAAAAGGTCCAAAGGGGTAGGAGAAGTAGGAGGGGAAGGGGAAAGGAAAGAAGGGAAAGGAAAAATCATGAGAAAAGAAAAAAAATGGAAATGAAGTCTATGTAAATAGGGAAGGGTGGAGGAGGTGAAGGGCACACAGGTAATAGGAAAAAAATAAGAACCAAGATACATCATGTACAGGTACAAGCACCCAATGATAAATGTAAACATATTGTATACTTAAAATGCACCAATAAAAAAAATTTAAGCAAAAAAAAAAAGGTGGGTCTAATCTTGTTGTCAAATAATAGCTAAAAATATGTTTTGATGATAGATCTTTGTGATTTTTGGATACTTAAGTCAGGAATTCAAAGAATTAAATGATATCACTATAATAGAACTTCTTTCATTCTCATGTACTTATTTACATGACGTCTCTGTCACCATCTAAGAAAATGCATGATGGACATTAGCTAAAGATAGCCACCATTATTTCCTTCCATCCTTGCATCTACCTGCCACTCCATCTACCCAAGGGCAGTCTGTTTCCTCTCCCCTTGACCTTTGCTGACCTTGTCTCTTGCTATTACCAATAGAATGGATGGAGCCAAAGTGGACCTGCTCTGGCCCAGGCCTGTGTCTTGGCAGTCTGCTGCAGCACTGAATGTCTGAGCCATTCGGTAAGGAAGTCCAGCTGTTTTATCATGCTTCACCTCTGTGTCAGAATATTTGTGGTATCAAGGTGAATGAATTATATTCTTTTTTTTTTTTTTTTTTTTTTGGTACTGGGGAACGAACTCGGGCCCTTGTGCTTGCGCAGCAGGCGACAAAACCACTGAGCTAAATCCCTGGCCCTGAATTATGTTCTTTGACCTTAACTGGTTCTCACTCTTTATTTGAAATTCCCATATTCAATTCAGAACAAAATATCAGTGATCTTTACTATCTCAAATTGTTTCATACACTGATATTGAGGTCTGGCTTTCTTAATTCCTTAACCAAAATAATTTTCTTCTAATTTTATGAATGCAAACTGCTTACTAGAGAGCTTAACTACATTCTTTCCACCTATTCCACATTTACTGCTAACAAAGATTCCATAATCTGGAATAAATGGATTTTCATCAGATAATGTGCCAGCTGGTGTCTTCCATTGATGATGTATTGCTGTGTGTCAAGCTCTTTACTATTCACCAAAGCATTGACATATGGCTAGTGATGGGGGAAAACTAAGTTAAGATGATACTTTTATGCAGGGAAAGTAACATTTTATAATGGTATGAAATACCTTTGTATAGCTTTATTTTGTAGTCTATTTATTTAGCTAGTTTTGGTGCTAGGGATTGCATGTGTTGCGCACGCATTCTCCCACTGAGCTGCACCTCCAGCCCTACAAGTTACTTTTTTATAACCTGATGCATTTGAATGAAATTGGGTTAGTGTTTAAAAAACAGACAAAAAGATAGCAAATGAAAGTAAAGTGGATGCTCTGTAATTGGACTGCTTGGGACATTAAAAAGCCTGTATATGTATGCTGCACTTGCTTATCTAAAGGAACACTGAGTTGTTTTGGAGAAAAGTGAGGTTGCAATGAGCAGCAAAATGGGCAAGAGACAGTGACTACACTGTGAGCTCCCTCCCCAAGGACAGGCGGTATATTTTCCTGTTGTCGCTGTCATCATTGCCATTTATAAAATCTGCTATTACACATTTTTCTTTATTTGTTTCCAATTCTTATGATAACCCTGGAAGGCTGGTGTGATTAGTTTCATCTTACGGATGATGAAACTGAGGCTCAGTTATGTAAAGCAATTTGCTCACAGTGACATTTTAGGTGGTGGAGGTGTGATTCAAGCCAAGATTTCTTTTTATGGCCTTACTTTTCAAATACTTTACAAAATTATGAAATATAGAATGCTGGGCACTCTTCAACCATTTATTAAGTGTTAAAAAAACAACTTTGTTACACAAAACTTTGCAGTTTCTGAGGGATTTTGGCTGGGAGTGTGTCTGTAGAGAAATGGTCACAATAAGAGATTTCTGGTAATAAGTTTGCAGGCTGAGTTTAGGACCCTGATTGGAAGAATTCTTGTTTTCCTTAGTGAAGTTTTCCTGATCACAGGTAAATGGAAAAGACATGATAATTTCAGGGAAGCAATTGAGAAAAAAACAGGCATGTCCTTTGTTGAAAGGATGATGGTTTGGCTTAATTCATTCTCATAGATGGAAATAGAAATAAGGGCCTCATAACAATACATAATGCACATGTTATGGTACATAAACTGGAGACTTCCTGAGGTACAGTGGCTCTTGTCAAATTCCTTTTGAATTTGTTCTTTCCTGTTTTTAGATACTTGTTGTGACTGGGACTGTCTTTTTATGTGACTTTGCCTCCCTGACAAGCCAGTAATTGGTAATTATTCAAGGTTAGACAACCAATTTAAGCTGGTCTAATTGTAGACAAGGTTGTAATTTCTTATCCCAAAGAGGTCAGTTTCTCCCAACTTTTTACTTTTAAAAATTTCAAGCAGACAGAAACATCAAAAGAATGATACAATGAATAAAATCTGTTGAATAAGTCATATTCAACAATCGTTAACATTGTTTTGTGTTATTCACGCTGTATCTGTCTTCCTCTGTAGATGTTTATTCATTCAAAAGCAAAGTGCCGACACTATGACACCTTTCCCTAACTCCTTTGGCACATAAGTCTTAGAGACATAGATGGGACTGTTA